GGCATTCTATGATTCTATGATACACGGTGAACTGGCCCCGAGCACGGAGGTGATAAAAGGATATAAAATTATACAAAAGTCCTTTAAAACCAATCAGAAACCAAGAGATAAATTATTTACAGTTCAAAGCGATCCCAAGAGGAGCTGAAGGCTCCTGCACATCTGCCAGCCACGAGAGCAAGAGAGGGGCTGATTCCAGTGGCGGCCTCGAGGAGTCTGGGCTGGATGCTAAGGGCTGGGGCTCCGCAGGGCTCGGCTCGTCCCCCACGCACGGAGCCGCAGAGGCTCCGGAGGCACCGCAGAGGCTCCGGAGGCACCGCAGCGCGTGGGCATCTCGTGGTCCTCTAGTGCCGACCCCTCTGCTGTCCCTCCTGCTGCCCGGGAGCTGCTTCCCAATGGACATTTCTCGGTGTCCCCTTTCGGAATCACTGCTGCCACTGACCCGATGGACACCCACAGGGATGTGTCTCAGCCTGGCAGCCCCATTCGCCCTAATTTTAGGCCAGAATTGGTCCTTGGACCAGTGCACCCAAAACCCCAGGCCTGAGAAGTGACCTGTGAGCACRGGAGGCAGCAAAGCTCGAGCTCGGCCGCATCCCTGCTCCCACGAGGGAGGTCCTGCCCAGGCCCAGCTCCTCCGAGCGAATTCCCGAGCCGAGCGAAGGCTGCTTGGGCGACGCTGCGCACCCAACCCTTTCCCTGTCCCTCCGCCCGTGCTTTCCAGGAGCAAACGGATCTGGAGAAAAGCAAAGCTGCTGYCGGCAGGGTGTGTGGAAGGGAGAAGGGTGGGCAAACGGATGGACGATTTGCCAACTTAATGGATCCAATTCGCTGAAAATAACGGTGCGGCTCAGCGCGAGCCCAGCACTGGGCTGTCCTTGCATCGACCTGCACGTCACAGCCCCGCTCTGCGGGAAAAGGAGCCGAGAAGCTCGACGGCAGCTCCGGCCTCGCGGGCTTCCCGCTGGGCTCCGGCCCGGGCTTGGCTGCTGGTCCCGGCGGCCTCGGCGACTCGCCCCCGTGTGCTCCCCGCGGGGAAAGGCTGGAGCCATCGGCTTCCATCCGCTCTCGCCGGAGGCCGCTGGGAGCGGGGACGAAGCCTCTAGCTCGGGCCTGTTCCTGGTCCTCCCCGCCCGGTGCGGGTCCGTCCTGGGTGACCTCGGCACCGTCCCAGCTGGGCCGGTCCCGTCCTGCACCCTAGTGTGTCTGCAGCGCCAGCGAGCGCGCGGCGCGAGGAAGAGCCCTGGTTGTGAGGGGCGCAGCCCCTCGCGGGGGGTCCCGCACGCGCCACCGCGGCGCCGCAGAGCCCTGGGGCCGCCTGGGCCTGCAGAGTCGGCGAGAGGGCTACTGCCCCTCTGCCTTCACATGGTCCCCGATCATCCTCCGGTGGTGCGTGGCCAGGAAGATGTCGTTGTCGCGGGGGCAGTCGTAGTGGCAGGAGCACATCTTGATGAACATCATCTTCCGCTGGAAGAAGTCCCCCTCGGGGCAGCGGAATTCCACCTCGGCCGTGCTGGTGTCGCGCGGGGTGCAGCAGCGGCCGTCCGTGCAGCTCCCGCAGAACCTGGGCCGGTAGGAGCGGCTGCTGGTGCAGCCCGAGAACTCGAAGCGGAGGCTCCGGCGCAGCTTTGGGGTCCGCACGCACTTCTTCCCCTTCTAGGAGAGGGCAGCAGCGAGAGGGCGAGCGGGACCGTGAGGAGCGGTCCAGCTGCCCCGACATTCCCAGCCGTGTCCTCTCCTCCCCTCTCCCCAACCAGGCACCTTCATCTTCCCCGTGGGGAAGTCGCAGGGCCGGACCATGCAGAGGCGGGTCTCCTTCTCCAGGCGGCACTGGCCGTTGCTGTTGGTGACCCGCGTGGAGACGCCCATGCCGCAGCTCTTGGAGCAGGCGCTCCACTCCGTGGTCTGCACCAGGCAGTTCTCCTGCACGTTGTTCTCCTCGGGCTGTCGGGCCGGCGTCTCCTTGAAAACTGCGGCACGCGGAGGAGGCACAAGGCGGAGGAGACACAAGGCAACGGTCAGGGCACAAAGCCGCAACGCGGGGCCAGCTCAGCCTAAACCTTCACCGAGAGCAGCCAAGGACAACAGGGACGCAACATAGGGCCCCGTCCAGGGTGCTTTGGGCCCATCCCCATGGACAACCCGCCCATGAGCTTCCCCCACGCGCCGTCCCCAGCCCCGCCGCGCGGCTCTCACCGGCCATGGCCGCGCCCGAGCGCTCCTGCTCGCCGCCCTCCTCGCAGACCCACTCCTCGCAGCACTTGCTGCGGGGCTGCACGCGCCGCGGGCTGCGGCACTGCGGCGACGGCAGCCGCAGCGCGTCGGAGCACAGCGGCACGCAGCCGATGGCCCCGTCCATGCACACGCACTGCAGCTTGCACGTGGGCTGGAAGCTCTCGCCGTTGTGGTAGATCTTGCCCAGCAGGTCACAGGTGGCCCCTTCGTGAGCTGCGGGACGGGGCAGAAGAGGAGAAGTTGGCAGGTGGGATGGAGCCTCTGCCTCCGAGGGCTACGGCGCCCGCGACGTCCCCACAAGGGACAACCGAAACCAATATTCCAGGTAATTAATGGAGATTTGAGGGGGATTGCTGTTATTTTCATCCTGAAATTAAACGTTGAAGCCTCAGAGCTGTCCACAGGAGAGCTTCTGCATGGAGTTGCCTCTTTCTACATTTCTGGCCCTCATTTAAAAAAAAAACTAAATAAAATAAGACCCAAGCAAACTTCTCCTGGGAAGTTCCCAAAGTGCTGGATTCCTGGCTGCTTGTGCCAGCTTCCCGGGAAACCTGATCTATTTTCTCCCCGTCCTTCTCACCCGTGGGCTGGAACCTCGGCCCAGGCACAAACCATTTGGACCAAGCAACGCCGAGAGCCTCATTCCTTTCCGCTTAGTCCTCGAGGGGACACAAACCCTTGTGCTCTGCTAATGCCTCCTTTCCAACCAGAGCTGGATCTCAACTTGCAAACCTTTCCAGGGCCATGGGTATAAAAATACTCCTGCTGTTCCTGTTTGGAAGTCGCAAAATCCACATTTTTTCCAAGCAAAGTGGGAGCCTGCCGCTTCCCTTCTCCATGGCCATTCATACCTATTTTTAACACTCTTGCGCTATGTTTTAGCCCAAGCCCTCAAGCTGGTTGTGCCATTCCCCCACACTTTGCTCCGTATGTTTTGATTGCTTTGGAGATTCAGTCATTCGCTTCGCTTACTGCCTCTTCTGATCCTGCCTTCAACACGGTGCCCCAGTTTCCTTGGCATTTTGACACCTCTCCATTCCTTTCTGCCCCCATCGCCTCTCTCTCAGGAGGATACCACTAAGACCCCTTTTCTCTCTGCACAAAGCTCTTCTTTGGTCCTGCCCATCCTCGGCATCCCTCACTGCCTCCCCAAGTCCCCACTTTTCAAGGCATCAAGGTAAACGCTACAAAACACATCACCCCAGGACAGTTTTGCCTTTGTGGACACCTTGGCCAACATTTCGTTGTTTCTGTGTACACATTGCTTTGCACAGGAGCCATGTAGCTGTTTCTGCCCACCCGCTAGAAGCAGCAAATGGGGTCTGCCTCTTGCACGCGAGCACTTGGATACAAAATGCCCATTTCCAGTGCAAAGCAATGAGGTTTTTAAAAGATTTTCTACAGCAGAAATCCAAACTGCGGCTCTTTGCCCACTGTAGGGTTAGAGGCTCTCCCATATCAGTGTCCCAAGGAGGAAGAAGGGCCCCAAGGTGCCAAGTGTGCCCTTGGGAAGCTTTGCAAGGGAAGGAGGGAAGGAGGGAAGG